CAGACAGATGTAAAACATATTCTTTGTGGACTATGTTATACCAATTGACCATGGTATCCCTTGAGACTATGGTCCTGGGCCCCAAGCCCAGCAACTCAATCTCTCAAGATATTTGGTATGTATAAGTTTTCATAACTTAGCCTGTCTACCCATATGTTTGTCTACCCAGTCTTTGCAAGATTGTGTATTTACTTCTGTTGCCTTTAAGTCTTGCCCTCCTCCCTGTGACTCCCCCTGCCTCCATCATTCTTTTTTTTCTGCCAACCCCCTCTTTTTATATATTACCTTCCCTTTCACCCAAGTTAACACAAGGCTAAAGGGTAGACTTGTGTTAACTTGGATGAAAGGGAAGGTAATATATAACAAGAGGACTTTGGCCAAAAATTAAAAAAAGGAAGCCCTCCCAGCAAGATGGACTGGCAAAGTGGCAGCATCAGTGGACTCATGCATAGTAACAGTTGTGAGGTTGGCCTAGGAACGGGCAGTGTTTTGTTCTGTTGTACATAGAGTCACTATGAGTCGGTACTGACTCGATGGCACCTAACAACAACAACAACACCCTCTAACCAGGAGTTCTGGTAGCATACAGGTTACAAGTTAGACTGCTAACTGCAAGGTCAGCAGTTTAAATCTACCAGCTGCTCCACAGGAGAAAGATAAGACTTTCTGCTCCCATAAGACTTACAGCCTTGGAAACCTTATGCAGGGTCTCTAGGAGTCAGAAGAGATGCCACAACACATTACCACCACCACTACCGCCCTCTAGTGAGTGAATTACTCCCCTATTCTTCCCACTTATGGTAACTATCAAAGAATTTCCTTTTAGTGTGAAAACCTTTTCTTGACTTTTTACAATACTGGTGTCATGAAATATTCGTCCTTTCGTGATTGACAAATTTCACTGGGTATAATGTCATTGTTATTCTTTAATATTGTGTAGTCTGTTTTTTTCCACATAATTTTCCTTGTTGAGTTCATTTTGTTGTGGACTTTCTTGTCATTTTTTTGTTGTTGCTGTTGTTCTAGTGTTTACTAAATCCTTAAATTTTACCTCTTTTTTTATTTTGAGGAGATGGTTTAGTAATTTTCTTTGAGGTTGCCCTGTAACTGATCAAATTCTTTCCAAGTTTGAAACAATCTGTTTTATACTGAAATCTACTTTATTTCTTTGCTTTTGGAAGTTCTGGAACTACACAATTCCCTCTCTTTTTTTGTAATTGTCTTTATTACAAATTGATATCTCTGGTTTCCTAAGTCTTATAGATCTATTTTACTTTGGAAACTTGTCATGTTTTGTGTATTTAACTAATGATTGTATGTTGGTGTGTTCTTAGGCACTCCCCACCTGCCTTCTGGTGGGTGTGATAGGAAATATAAGTGGATGTTCAGTCCTCAGTTCCTTATTTGGGTATCACACTTCAGCACAGGTTTGCTGGTGTTGGCTATTGTCTATCATTGATCAGATGGTACAGGAGCTAGTAGTGGCCCTCAGATGGTTGGTTAGACTGCAGAAGGTATAGATGCGGCATGGCTGTATGGGCATAGTGGCTATCTCCCATTGAGTGGAGCAAGGAAAAAAGAAACCAACAAATAACAGCAAAAAAGAAAATAATAAAGGACAAAACAGGCAGGAACTAAAAAATATATTATAACTAAAAAGAGAAAAGGGGAAAGGGAAATAAAAACAGAGAAAGAGAAAAAAATTGAAAGAAAGGAAAACCACAAAAAATAAAACTAGGGAATCCTGGTGTGGCACTGTAGTATAAGCACTGGACTGCTAACCACAAGGTTAGCAGTTCAAACCTACCAGTCACTCCTTGGAAACCCTATATAGGATCACTATGAGTTGGAACTGCTCAAGGGCACTTAACAACAACAATAGGTAGTGCTCACCTTGGAAACCCTATACAGGGTCACATGAATCAGATTGTTCCACCCAGCCAGTGAACAAAGAACTGAGCACACACTTACATTCCTTATCACATTGTGTCAGGCTAGTCAACAGTTTACCTAGCTCTTATCTCACTGCGGTTGTTGTTTCTTTTCCTAGTCAGTGTTCTGTCCATTTTTTCTATCCTTTGCTCTGAAGCTCAGGGTTCCTGCACTATTATCTGTATCTGTTTCATTTGGTCTCTTATATCTTTGCTGTAGATGCTCTATGACACATATAGGAATGCATATATTACATATATTATTTGCTTATCAAAAATTCAGATAATTACATTATTCCCATTTTACTTATGGATATGAAAAAATTGAAGTTCTGAGCAATAATGTGGTTTGCCCAAGCTCAGCAATCTATTAAGTGGCAGATACTAGGATTAGAATAAACTTGCTCTGACTTCAAAAGCAAGTGAGTATTCTTTGCTTTACTTTGGTAGCATTTACTGACAAAGAAGAAATTATACTATAACATTAAGTTAAAATGCAGTTTATAAAACAGCTGTATAGTTTAATTTCAATTTGTGAAATATTTACATATCTATAAAAGAATCAATACATTTGAGTTTTGATATTGGTGAAAAATATTGAATATATCATTGACTGCTGGAAGAATGACTAATTCTTGGAAGAAGTACAGTCAAAATGCTCTGTAGAAGTGATGATGGTAAAACTTTGTCTCACATACTTCAGACATGTCATTAGGAGGGACTAGTCCCAGGAAAAAGACGTCCTGCTTGGTAACGTCAGCAAAAAGAGTAAGATCCTCAGTGAGGTACATTAACACAGTGGCTGACACAATGGGCTCACACATAGCAACAATTATGAGGATGGCACAGAATTTAGTTCTGTTGTATGTGGGGCCACTGTGAGTTAGAACAGACTCAACGGCACCTAACAATAACAATAAACACATGGAAATTCCAGAAGGACAAACATAAAAATGCTAATAAATGTTATCTCTCAAGCATTTGTGGGTATTTTTTTGTCTTTATTATTTTTCTACAACTATTTTATTTTATGCAATGAAAATACAAACTTAAAAGACCAATGATCAAGCTGCAAACCTCAGTCTATCAACTATTTTACTCTAAACACAACTTCCATTCGCCTCTACATTTTTAAATAATAAATAAGGCAGGTTGTTCATATATTTATATTTTTAAAAAACGTCTGGACTACCTATTATGGTTAAGGGACTGCCTTGGGTGCTGTTTCATAGGTTTATTGTTGTTGTTGTTTGCCGTGGAGTCGATTCCGACTCATAGCGACCCTGTACAGGTTTTCCGAGGCTGCAAATCTTTACGGGAGCAGAAAGCCTCATCTTTCTCCCGCAGAACAGCTGGTAGTTTCGAACTGCTGACCTTGAGGTTCACAGCCCAATTCGTAACCACTACGCTACCAGAGCTCCTTTATTGTTGTTTAGTGCCGTCGAATTGGTTCTGACTTATAGTGACCCTGTATAGGGTTTCTGAGGAGCAGCTGATGGGTTTGAAATGCGAACCTTACATTTCAAACCAAGCTTGTGGTTCAGTGTTTATCTTACAGCACCACACCAGAACTCCATTTCTTGGTATAATTACTTAAATGATTTTACTTCAGGAAACCTAGATTCTCACTTTCTGTTCTTAAATATTATTCACACCTTGATCACAACTATGTATATTTGGATTTTAAGTTTCAGCTCTACTTGTTGAATGCAACTAAACACCTATTCAAGGAATACCTACCTGGCAGTTATAGTTGCCCTGCCTCAGTGATCTTCATCTTTGGAGAGTCAAAGTAAATGTTTTATAAGTTACTATACTTTTTTTTATTCCTGATTCAAAAATGAATTCTTAAGATTATTTCAAGCAGGGCAGGTCAAATCTCAAAATCTAGATTCACTCACCAACAAGAACATTTTCTGCTAGCTATACATTCCTTCTGGAATGTCCTTTACTCCCTTTCCAGAACTCCTCCTCCTAACTCTCTCTCCTGCTATAAAGCAATTGAACCATGTGATTTGAGAACTCATCCTTCCTGATTTTTCTCCTTCCTCTGGCCATCCAGCCATAGATCTTATGTCTAATTCAGCAAGAATACGCCTTGTGGTTTGAATTTTCAGTCAAGATCAGTTCTTCCCAAATGAGAATGAAAAATAGCTGTTCACCTGTCCCTTGAGAGAGGAAAGAGGATACGTCTCCTGCTGCAACGAGATGCCAAGAGAAGTGGGGTGACGAAAAGAGCAAAACTCTCACCCTCTTTAATGGAAGATTCATATGTCTCTGATTACATGAGTAATAAGAAGACTAAACTGCCTGATACTACTGGAAACAATCAGTACTAACATTACTTTTAAATAATGGTTTTTTAAAAAGAATTAAAAACAGCACAACCTAAACCAAACCAAATTTACTGACTTCAAGTCGAACAACATTTCGGCTGACTCACCACAATTCTGCTTAGAATCTAAAGTAAAATAACATTGAGCAGGACCCTTCACGAGCACAGTGCCTGGCACTAACAGAATACTGTGCAGCAAAACTGTAATCACAGACAAAAGCCAGTGCCAATCGAAGCGTTAATTTGCTTTAATGGCAGCGGTAATCTCTGTTCACGTATGCGGCTCTCACGCAGTTTGACTGCATGCTCATCTGCTAAAATCTGTTGTTGTTGTTAATTAGATCCTATTTCTTACACACATGCATAAACGTCTGCAAAAACCAAGGAGGGTGTAGAAGGCATCAATTCTGAGCCCTGAGTTCAAGGAACTGTGATCACTATAGTGTAGGAATCACCTCATCTCAAATTATGAGTGTCCTCCAGCATCCTATCGTTAACACTGAAACGTTGGCGGACTGCACATAAAGAGCCACGAAATCCCCCGGCATCCAGGTGTGGTCTACTACAGCCGCCAAGCTCTCACTGGAAAGAAGTGCGTCTACCCGGAAGAGCCCGATGTTCAGAAGACTGAACAAAGCCTGCAGGAAACGTCATCGTGAGTACTCCTGCGCGGTCGTCTAGACGACCCACCCACAGGGCCTGGCATCTTAGACCAGCCAGGGACACTACGGAAAATGGAAAAGTCCCCAGAAAATGTTTCAAACAGCTCCTTGGAGTATGAAAATATAGGCAAGCCCACTGCTGATCTTACTGACTACCAGGAAGAAAGCAATGGGACAAATCAAGCTGAAGGGGAGACCGTTTTCCAGACTAGTTATGAAAAAGCTAACCAGGCTGAAGGAAGAACTTCTGAACAGACTGGGCCCACAGTATCTGTTCAGGCTGACCACAGAGCATCAAACCTTTCTGATACTGATGACCATAGAGCATCTGATATGCCTGAGGAAAGAATGTTTGACCACAAAGCATCTAGACAAGCTGGTAAACTAGAGAATAAACAGGATTGGAAGATATCCGTCCAGGCTGACCTAAGAGTTTCTGAACAGACTGACAGAAGACTGTCCAGTTTAGCTGATCGAAGAACTTCTGAACAGACTGACCACAGATTTTCCAGCCAGGTTGGGCAAAGAACTTTTGAACAGATTGATCGCAGATCCATCCCAACTGACAGAAGAAATTCTGAACCGATTGACCGCAGATTGTCTGCTGCTATGGCTAATAAAAGGATTTCTGAAAAGACTGACCACAGATTGTCTGAATCAGTTAACCGAAAAACATCTGCACAGATTCACCAAGCCACTGAACCAGCGAAACACATAGATGACAACAATGTTTTTGACCATTTTGAGAAGAAAGTAGATGATCAGGATGACCATTTAGTAAACAAACAGGATGGCCACACTGAAGACAATCTAAATGATTATAGAGCATCTGGCCAATGTAACTACAAAATATATTCCCTGTTTAAGGATACCGAGAAGGAAGAAGGGGCTAACTACAGAGTACAACCTTGCAAATTGAATGACAGCCAAAAGGACCTCCGTAATTCCAAAGCTGCAATGGAAACTGAAACTAATAGTATAACCTTTCTTGAGAACTACAAACCATTTGATTCCAAATTAAATAATAATTTACAATCATCAGACGAAGCACTTTTTCAAGTATTGCCTTCCATCTCATCCCAATTGGACTATCTTCACAATCAAGAAATCAATCCTGTAGGTTAAGGGGACATTTTGTTACCTACCAGGGAGTTGGAGGCCAAGCAGGGGTTTGTGGTGGGAAATGAGAAGGGAAACATATTGGATCAAGGTTGAGGAATAAACCCACATGTTGAAGGACAGTAGGAGAGTAGGAAATAAAGAGTTATTTTGTCTTCTTGAAGAATCAGTATACCAGAATTGAAGAGACGTGAATTTTAAATCTTGGTTCCTGATAACACCGTAATATAGAATCATTTCTCCTTTCTGAGTTTCTTCCAAAGGGGAAAAAAATTTGAAATTGTTTGGAAATCCCTGTGAAGGGAACAGGGTTTTGAGTAGATGAGATTCCTAAGATATCTCCCAGGACTTGAGGTGCATTTTATTTATTGCCTACAGGCAAATGGGTCTCACATATAAAAATGTATCTTTTCTCCAACTCCCAGTATATGTTTAGATCTCATTGACACCAGATGCCACTGATAACAGCAACAAAATTTCCTGGGGCTTTACAATTTATTAAGGAATCTTTGGAATATTTTAATTTCAGGATTATATGTCACAGTTTGAGCAAGAAAAGGATTTTCAAGAAAATGAGCAAACCTATAGGAAGAAGTTTCCTTCTGTTGTGTATAATGATCCTTATCAACTTGCACTCCGATACATGGAAAAGCACAACATTCTGCAAATATTCCAGGTACAGCTCTCAATCTCTCTCTTTAATTGTGACTTTTGCCATAACTATCATTTTAAAGACAAAATTTGACCTGGCTTTCAAGAGGCACAAGAAAAGACCTTGGCTATAAAAGGTATGGAGTCCTGGTGTGGTGCTGTGGGCTAATGTGCTGGACTGCAAAGTCGGTTTGAATTGCAAGGCCGGCAGTTCAAACTCACCAGCCACTACTTGGAAACCCAATACAGAGTCACTATGAGTTGACACCGAATTGATGGCAAAAACAACAGCAACTGTCACAAGCACGTGAAAATACCATGGCTTGGATTAGACACACCTTAGTTCTCAAAGTGATAACTTTGTTTTTCAACATTTACTTTCAAGAGGTTTTTAGCAGCAGTTTTCCCAATGCAATATATCTTTTCTTGTCTGCTGCTTCCATGGACAATGATTTTGGATCCAAGTGAAATGAAATCCATGACAACTTCTATCTTTTCTCCATTTTTCATGATGCTGTATATTGGTCCACTTGTGAGGATTTTTGTTCTCCTTATGTTGAGGTGTGATCCATACTGAAGGCCGTAGTCTTTGATCTCAAGTGCTTCAAGTTCTCTTCTCTTTCAGCAAACAAAGTTGTATAATTTGCCTATTGCAGGTTATTAATGAGTCTTCCTCCAATTCTGATGCCACATTCTTTTTCATATAATCTAGCTTTTGGGATTATTTGTTCAGCACGTAGAATGATTAACTTTGGTGAAAGAATACAACCCTGATGTACACCTTTCTTGATTTTAAACCATGCAGATTACCCTTGTTCTATTCAAACAACTGCCTCTTGGCCTATGAACAAGTTTCACTTGAGCACAATTAAGTGTTCTGAGGATTTCATTCTTCCCATTATTATCCATAACTTATTATGATCCAAAGAGTTGAATGTCTTTGTATAGTCAATGAGATACAGGTAAACATTTTTCTAGAATTCTCTGATGTCAGCCAAAATACATCTGACATCAGCAATGATATCCCTTGTTCCGTATCCTTTTCTGAATTTCTGGCAGTTCCCTCTTGATGTACTGCTGCATCTCTTTTTAAATTTGACAAAATTTTACTTGTGTGTGATATTAATGATAGTATTTGATAATTTCTGCATTCCATTAGATCACCTTTCTTTGGAATAGGCATAATTATGATTTATTTTAGTCTGTTAATCAGGTAGCTTTCTTCAGAAGTTCTTGGTATAGTCAAATGAGCACTTACAGCATTACATTTGCTTGTGAAATACCTTAGTTGGTATTCTGTTAATTCCTGACGTTTTGTTTTTCACTAAAGGTTTCAGTACAGGTGGGGCTTCTTCCTTCAATACCACCAGTTCTTGATCATATGCTACCTCTTAAAATGGTTGTGGTTGTGGTTGTCAGGTGCCATCTAGTCAGAACCAGAACCGACTCATAGCGACTCCAAGCACAGCAGAACAAAACAATGTCCAATCCTGGGCCAACCTCATTACCGCTACCACACACTGCCATCAATGATGCCACCTGGCTGATCCATCTCGTTGGGGGTCTTCCTCTTTTTCTCTGACCCTCCATCTTACCCAGCATGACATCCTTCTCCAGTGACTGTTTCCTCCTGACAACATGTCCAAAGTATGAGAGTCGAAGCTTAGCCATCCTGGCCTCTAAGGAGCACTCTGGCTGCACTTCTTCCAAAATAGATCTATTGGTTCTTTTGGCAGTCCATGGCACTTTTAGTATTCTCCTGCAACACCACAACTCAAAGGCATCAATTCTTCTATGTTCTTCCTTATTCACTGTCCAGCTTTCACATCCATACGAGGTTATTGAAAATAAAATGGCTTGGGTCAGGCACACCTTAGTCCTCAAGCTTACATCTCTGCTCTTCAACACTTTAAAAAGTTCCTAAAAAAAAAAAGTCCTGTGCAGCAGATTTGCCCAATGCAATAGGTCGTCTGATCTCTTGACTACTGCTTCCACGAGTGTTGACAGTTGATCCAAGAAGAATGAAGTCCTTGACAACTTCAATCTTTTCTCCATTGATAAGAATGTTGTTTAAAATGGTTAGACATTGACTTATTCTTTTTGGTACAATGACTTTTTGTAGTCCTTTTTTGATACTACCTGCATTATTCAATATTTTGCCCATAGAGGATTTCCAGCAAGATGGTGGACTAGGCAGACACTTTACCCAAACTGTCTATAACAAAGACACCAAATGAAACAAATACAGATGATAATTCAAAGGAATGGATAGATAAGTGGATTGATTACTAAGAGAAGATGAGCAAAAGCAAGAGAGGAAACAGACTGAATGGGTGAATTGTCAGATGACCTGACACAGTCCTGCCATTTTGAACTTTTGCAAACAGCATTTGATTAGGGCAACAACCAGGGACTGAATGACCAGAAAAGTGTAATCCTGCCCTTATCCCTCACACCCTCATGGTGACCAGAAATGTGGTCAACCAGCAGTCACACCTGCTGAGGGGCTGGTGACACCTTATTCCCCTGCACAGCCCCACTTCACCTGAGGTCAAAGGCACACCTTCATGGATCAGGCACCAGGTACATGCCATCCTATCTCTGGAGATGCCTGAACTCCACATCATCAGACCAGAAGAACATTCGGTACCAACTGAGTGGCCTGCCCCAGCCACCCCTGGGCAGGCAGGAATTCCTTCCTGAACCAGCTACCCTGACCCCAGCCCTCTGGACCCTAAAAAATTCCTCTGGGAACAAACAACTTGACCACAGTCAGCCTTTGAACTAGCACGAACTTCTTCCATATCATGTTCCCTGACCCCAAACCCCTTCCAGGCCACCAGGAGCTCCATCTATGACGGCCCCTGTAATCCCCCATCCCTTACCTTCTTGGCTGCACCAGGTGCCCCACACACACACACAATTTTCTGTATTCTGGGCCCTGTCCCTCACTTACTGTCCCTCCCATTTTCTTCTTTATATGTATGTTTTCTTTTCTTTCCCATCCTTTGTTTTTCCCTTTCTTTGTTTGCTTTCCCTTTTCTTTTCTTACTTCTCTTTTCTTTTTTACTTCCATTCTTTTACTTTCTTTTTTCCTTTTCTCTGATTTTTTTTTTACTATTTTATTTACTCTTTTACTTTTCTCCCAACTCTCAAGTTTTAGTTTTTCTTTCATTTTTTTCTCTCTTGTTTTCCTTTCCTTTATTTTTCTGTTTTAGTTACTAAATTCATTTTACTTGCTATTGTTTGTTTGGTTTTCCCCTACTTGTTCTTTCATTTACTGTTTTATTTCTTCTTGTTGTTTTTGTTTTTATTCTCTTATTTTTCTTTCCTTATCCTACTGGTGGCAGGCAGAAATCATGCCTACATGATCCAAATACATCCATGCCTTCTGCAGTCCCACCTTCTGGCTACTACCCACTTCTGTACCACCTAATGATCAGCATAGCAGCCAACACCAGCCAAACCTGCCCTCAACTGCAATATAGAAACAGTAAACAGAGATCTGTGCACACACTCGCATTTTCTATCACACCCATCAAGGCACTTGGGTAGTGAGTGCCTAAGAGCACACCAACATACAATCATCAATCAAATATAAATACAACATCACTATAATGTGTCAGAAGCAACAATTTCGGTTCATATGAAGAAACAAGACAGTGGCTCAAACAAGTGACCAAAATACAAAGCAAGAAAACTTTACTGAGGATGAAATGGCATTGGAGCTACCTGATATCAATGTCAAAAGAATCATTTCTAGGTACTTTCAATGGTTTAAAAGAAATATCAAGAAAGCTACAGAAGAAATCAAAGAAGACACTGGTAAACTATAGACAAGTTCAAGAAAACACTATCAGAGCAAAATGACAAACTCAATGAAAAATTATAAGCCATAAAAGAACTGCAAAGAGAAACCCAAAAGATTGATAATAAGATTTTAGAAGTAGATAATATATTTAAAGGTGAAAAGAGTATAACTGGATAAATGGAAGACTGAATTAATGAGATTAAAAACAAATACTAACTTTTTAAAGGAACAATCAAAAAAAAAAAAGTGAAGAATGCTTAAGAATTATGTGGGACACCATCAAGAAGAATAGCTTAGCTGTGGTCAAAATTCCAGGACCGGAACAGACAAAAAAAAAAACCCCACAAAGAACATTGGTGAAGAGCTGTTGGAAAAAAAAA